TCACATTTGCTTTTGATGGGCAGGATATCTTAATAATATTGGTGCTTATACTCTATTTAACCATAGTAAGCGCATACGTTTTCGAAATTGGCATTAACGAAATTGTAATGGCTTATTAAAATACAGTATAGACATAACCCGTAAATACTGGGTTATCGCATGTGACACACGATCGAGAAATAGGGACACAAAAGAAATAAGGGTTTCGAATTCCTTATACTAGCTATTATAATTTTTGAGCTTGTACATGCCATGCCGTTCACCCATATCTTATACCCGTGCCTCGTCTTTCTAATATAGGTCCACCACAACACACTCTTCCCCACTGACAGTTGTAGAAATTCAAAATGCTTTACAGGATCAAAGGCGAAACGAGACACTAGCATCATACTTGTGAGTATTGCAGCCAGATGTAACACAACACCGACATTTGTTGTGCGATCACAACCCCATCCGTGTCCCCAACCATTGTGAGAACAGCTGCCAAGATCGGATTCTGAACCAGTACACCCCATGTAATTCAGCCAAACTCTACCCGTCCCTCGTCCATTGTACGAAGCTCCCACAGCTTTTGTGAAACCGAGTTGTCGACATGCAACCTTAGCTTCCTCCATATACCAGCCATCACTACACACTTTTCCCCATTGACCCTGGTGATACACCTAATCATTTTATAGTGAAGAGCATTTAATAAAATCACAAGTAGAAAATACAAAGCAAGATCTGGAGAAATTATGTTAAGGTTGTGATTGGTTAAGTCGCGTGGATTGCATTCTACGAAAAACTTACAGTTTCATACATATAAAAGCAGGACATTTGTTTTTTGATGGGCAGGCTATCTAAATTTCAATTTATTTGTTGATAACATGGAGAAGCTTGGAGTTTCCAAACAATAATAAGCTCGTGTAGAATTGGCATTGAGAAAAGTTTTATAACATGCATTTTGCACAATAACAAAACGCAGCATTATATGTGTGGCGATTGCAGTAAGAGTTCACATTTCCCCATCCGTTGTGAGAACAACTTCCAAGTGAGGCCTCTGAGCCTGAACATCCCATGCCGTACAGCCATACTTTACCCGTCTGGCAGTAATGACAACCAAATCCCGAAAAGAATGATATACTGAAACAATTATATGGACAAAGTAAAAGAAACAAGCATCATATATGTGACGATTGCAGTAAGAGTCAACATTTCCCCATCCATTATGATAGCAGCTTCCAAGTGAGGTCTCTGACCCTGAGCACTGCATGTTGTGCAGCCATATCTTACCCATTCCTCGTCCGTCGTGCGAAAATCCTACAGCTCTAGTAAAACCAAGTTGTCGACATGCAACCTTTGCATCTGGCATCTCCCAGTTACCTTGACATAACGTTCCCCATTGACCATGGTGATACAACTCCACATGACCTAAAAGTATTTATTATAAGATGACCCACTAAAACAATAATATATACAAAGTAAATGACACCAGCATCATATTGGTGAGTAGGGTAGCTAGAACCAACGTTTCCCCATCCATTGTGAGGACAGCTCCCAAGTGCGGTTTCTGAGCCTGTACACTGCATGTTGTACAGCCATACTTTACCAGTTCCTCTTCCTTCGTACGAAGCTCCTACAGCTCTAGCAAAACCAAATTGATGATATCCAACGTTAGCATCTGGCATATCCCAGTTAGTACGACACACTATAACAGACGGAGTAACGTACTATAAATTAACTATAGTATAGTAACATGCTCTTTACCAGCGCTTATGAAGAATATTTCTACATATCATTGCTTTTTGAAGCACTTGGAAACTTACTTGTTCCGTATATATATTTAATTTTTATTTGCTTTTTACCATATTATAAGATATTTGACACCTGCCCTTTTATCAAGACCTGAGCATAATACACCCTATTTTGCGCTATATAAATGTAACTTTTTTTTTATTAACAGTGAATCAGTTTTAATGTTTTGTATGTATCGCCTGATAAAATTGTCTTACGCTTAAAGGTGATGATATTCCCTTTTCATCAAGTGAAAATAGTATGTGTTTATACACTTATTTCAATAAAGTTAGTCACCAAAAACCTAGAAAGCTGAGATCACTGAGCATCATGGGAAACTTTTCATATGAAAAAAGCATATATATACAAAGCTTTTTTAATACAAACTGCAGCTCGATGATGCTCAGAAGAGGTGAGACTGTAACCGGTAAAAGATTCGCAAGTCCATGAACAGTTATCAAGGGGTTGAACATGAAAAATGAATCTACCCATAATCCTTGTCGGCCTCAGCTTTATAGCTTTTCAGGTGACTAACTTTATTGAAATAAGTGTAATTAGATTTGTATTATGTATATATAGATATTTAGAGATATTTAGATATTTTTTAGGTTTTAATCTAGTTAATTGTTTTTAAGTAGGTTAGGTGTCCTTACTTAGTGGGAAACTGCTATATATTTTTGACACATAAATGAAATTTATTATTATTATTATTATTTATTATTATTAGGTTTTGTTTCGTTTTTTTTTAGTATTAGTACTCTTGCATTGTACATAACAATTTTTTTAGTGATCGTAATATTCAGTAAAATGACAATCAAATCATGTTGGCTTTTCGTCATCACTTTTAAACTTTAGTTTATAAAATAATTCATTTTTTAAATTGAAAAAAATTGAATTAAAATTATTATTAAAATTAACATTTTAATAATTCATGTTCCAAAATTGTTGAACATGTGTTTATTTGGAACTTTACTCGGTTTATTTGCAAAATTGTTTCTAGCTTGAGATACATTTGGAGACAGTTATTTTACTTTTAGTCATGATGTTAATTCAGGTAAAAATATAAAATAAGTTGATGTCCTTCGAATAGGGACCACACAGTGTTTCACTCGTCCACTTTTATTTGGAAAGATAAGATATACCAGATAATAAAGTAGAAACAAAGATACAAGTAAAATAAGTACAACAAAGTACACCGCTCATTATCAACCGGTCGTATCGCCTGTCATCTACATGAAAGTACTTCTCCGGGGAATATGAACGTCTCTGGGAGTAATCTCACAGCTTACATTTCATTTTCTAAATAAAAGCCTCGTACGCAAGAGGACGATACTCCTATTATAATTGTACTGCCGTTGATAAAAAATCTGCGGAATATGTTTTTGTAGGCAGGTGTTCTCAAAACCACAGTAACAATCCTCTATCACAATGTGATGCTGTTTTAGAATATGAGGGGTCGTTTTGTATTGGTAGATATAGATCCGAGCCGAACGCTAAATTACTTCTAAAACTCAGTGTTCTACTATACGTTCCAGTTGAATAGGCAAGAGTTCTCTAAACGTTCCAGTTTGATGACCAAGAGTTCTCTATGTGTTCCGGTTCAGTGAGCACTTATTCATCAGCACAATCAGCCCCGATTTCCCCTGGGTCCGAAATCAAAACCGCCCCCGGGCTTTTTAGATTGTCGAGCTTCTTTATCGGGTTTCATCCATGCACGTGATGGATTTGAAGGACCTGATAGGTCTAAATGCTCATTAATTATTCATGTGTTTTAGAATGGGCATTAACGTTCACCTGTGTTGACAAAACAACGCTTTTACTGCACATCGTTCTGGTACATGCCTATAACAATGTCATTGTAAAAAAACTGCCATACTATTTTGGCTATTGCTTATTTTCCATTAATTACATTTTGCTATTGATTAAAAAGCGATTAAGAAGACTAAGTTAAAAATCGTGGCGTTTTTAATCAATGGATCTTAAATCATCTTAATGAATTTTGTACTAAAACAAAAACAAAAGCAAACGACTCCAGCATCATCATCGTGATCGCACTATGAGGCAAGATTTCCCCATCCAGCATGAGAACAGCTTCCAAGTGAAGCCTCTGAGCCTGAACATCCCATGTTGTACAGCCATATCTTACCCGTCCCGCGTCCCTCGTACGAAGGTCCCACAGCTTTGGTAAAACCAAGTTGGCGACATGCCACCTTGGTATCAGACATATCCCAGCCACCCCAGTGACACACTGTTCCCCATTGACCCTGGTGATACACCTACGATACACCTATATGGATAATACCCAAGTTCAGTTCTTCAATTAGCTCTTCATTTAAACTTCATTTTAAATTTTAAGCTCTTCGTTTATACGCGTTAGTTGGAAAAGTTTAAAATATATAAAAATGTTCAATTATTTCCTCAATTTTTCCCTTACCGTTTACTTGATACGGCTCTCTGAATATCACAGGACATTTTATTTTGATTGGCAGATATACATGTTAGTTTAAGTCTTCAGACTTGTTTTAATCTAAAAACGATTTTGCGAATTACAAATGATTAAATATTGAATAAAATTAATTCTAATTTACAAATGGCAATCTATATCTTTTCACATTTTATTAAAGACATGGATTTGAAGAACTTTTCTTACATTTGATATTGCATATTGTGTTATCATCCAAACGCTGATATAATACAGTGCACATTGTCTCTGTTGATTATCATCAAACCTTCAGATGCTTGATATACTACAACAAAAACAAAGCTCACATGTACACCAGCATTCCATTCGTGACGTTTGCAACTAGAGTCAACTTTAGTAAAACCAAGTTGAATTGTCTGCATGCAACCTTGACTTCAGCCATGTCCCAGTAACCATTGACCTTAGCTTGGTGAGACCAGGAGGCATCATTCCTAGCAGTATTGACTATTAGATACGGAGAAACATGACACACTGAAACAATAATACGTACATAAAAAAATGAATAAAAAATATGTGAAAAACTAATAAAATATTGTTTTACTATTTATTCTCTTGCATTGATATCTTAGTTTCAAAGTAATGAAGATCGAACGAAAGCTTAAAGCCAATTGAAAATTATCTCTGACAAATTGTATATCTTCGTCAAATAAAGTTGAGCTAACAGTTTTACTGCACCTCATCCTGGCTCATCCCTATAAAACTTGTACTGTTATTGTATCGGTCTACACCGATTTAAAGAACTAACGAAACGTACAGACCAAAGGTTTCAAACTCGTAACATTTATTGGCTAGTGCGACGGCGTGAGCGTTCGAAATCCGATGGTCTTTCTCAGACTCGAATTCTTAATTAAGCTAATTAATGATTGTTGATTGTACTTTCGCGCTCGTAATTACATATTAGTTAATTAGCGAAACACTCCCCCCACCAAAATCTCGTTATAAGTTTGAAATGTCAATTCCGGTTTGATATGTCAATAGTGTTTTTAGTCCATCTTTGGATCGTTTCCTGCAGGTAGTATAACCACCAGTCTATTGACTGCTCTTTCGATCGTCGCATACTCTCTGCCTTCGTATTTTGCTGCTGGTTCTCCAGGTTTTGTACTGCACATGTGCCCTTCTGACCTTGCCGTCTTCACCTGGGAATACTTTGCAAATCCTCCCAAGCTTCCACTTTCCTCTTATTTGGTTTGAGTCTTGTATGAGTACTATGTCTCCTTCCATTAAATTCCTCTTTTCGGTATGCCATTTCTGTTGTATTATTAGACCGGGGAAATAATCTCTCGTCCATTTTTTCCAAAAGTTGTCAGTGATGTGCTGCACAAACCGAAAGCGACTGCGATGGCTCATCGTTTGCTCGAAGGGTCAACTTGGCACTCGAGAAGTCGATCTTCCGAGTAACAGGTCGTTATAAACATTGTCACACTATTAATTCGGCTATTGCTTATTTTGCATTGATTGGCTTTTGCTATATCATTTTATTTCATTTTGTGCTTTTACATACTGGATGTCCTGCGGTGCTCTGGACAATCCCCACCCCCCCCCCCCCCCCCCCCCCCCCCCCGCGCCATAATAACGTCGTAATTACTATGATGCTTTTTTGAAGCGCGAGTCGTGAAAGGCCCGTTAAAAGAAACATTTACAATGCATAATAACTCAAATTACGATTTGGAACACCCCGGCCCCCAAAGTTCTTGCATTCCCCAATGGGATATCGGTAGTAATTAGCACAATATCTCTTCATGTGTCCATGGAAGTTTAGCAAATAATATTTATGGGGCAACCATAACGCACGACACCAACATCATTTGTGTGATCGCAGCCCCATGTGTTTCCCCATCCATTGTGAGAACAGCTTTGAAGTGAGGTCTCTGACCCTGAACACTGCATCACAGCCAGCCATACTTTACCCGTTCCACGTCAGCGGTCAGCGGTCAGGAAGGATGGAAGGTCAACGCTCCGCTCGTGCAAAAAATTCAAAATTACACTTGTATATAACCGTATTATTTGTGCAATTCTTACTCAGTACATATATAACGTCCTTTGAAGACGACAGGAGTACCTCCAATGAACTGGAACTTCTGAATTTAGATGCTTTACCAGCTCCTTACCATGAAGGTAGCCGCCCTTCGGGAGAGTTTAGACTAAAGTCTAAGAAGAAGAAGGTTTATCTAGCCTCAAGATTGAAATATCATCCCAACTCGACTTCCAGCTTTAATCTAACTAGATTAGTGTTGTGTGGAGACATAGGTCCAAATCCAGGACCTAGCGTAAAGACGAAATGTAAAACATGTGAAAGAACCTTAGCTAAAAATCACCGAACCGTGCGATGCCAAACTTGTAGTCTTCTCTACCACCTCAAATGTTCTGGTCTGTCTACAAATAAATGTAAACAAGTACAGCTCAATATCAGCTCCTCTTGGATTTGTACACCATGTCTTTATGAAAATCTTCCTGTGGATCTAAGTTTCAGCTCGAATTATTCTGTGAACGACATAGTTCAACAACAGAATGAATCGTTACACTCGACCACCTCTGAAGAAGATCCTTTGCATATTATGTCAAATAAGAGACAAGCTTATCATAATCAAGATCTGCTTATACATCTGAACATAAACAGCGTCCAGAATAAGTTCGACGAGATAAAGGAAATCAACGAAAAATTAAAAGCAAGTATGATAATACTGACTGAGACAAAAATTGATTCTACATACTCCAATAGTTTATTCAAGCTATTTGGCTATCGGATCTTTCGCAACGACAGGGTTAAAGGCGGAGGAGGAGTAATGGCTTACGTAAAATCAGGTATTGTCGTCAAACGCTTAAAACCTGTGAAAGCCTACAAAACACTGGAACCTCTTGCTCTATATGTAGAGATAGGCGACAATAACTCTATTGTTTTGGGCTTATATAGACCACCATCAAGATCATCAAACAACAATTACTTCACAGAACTTCAAGACGAACTGAATCATCTGCTTACCTGGGCCCTTCAAAWAAGACAGACAGTCATGATCCTAGGGGACCTAAATCTTGATAAACGTAAGCCAAACAGCACAGAAGGAAAGATCCTTAAGAGAGGCTGTCCGTAAATATCGACTATTGTCGGAAAAAATTTAAAAAATGAAAATTTTCTTTTCCTTA